CATGTTCTAGAGAAGTTTTTAATTGGTAAACGTCTCCTTTGGGAAATTAGTTATGTATCGGTTACAATCCAGCAAGTATGAACTGAAAGCTTATTGTGATACCGGCTTCCTTTGTAATCAAGCACCAATCATTAGCGTTTTCAACATCGTTAACCATCTCCTGTCTACGTCTGAATGACTTTTATGCTTGTCGTAGTCACACCGAAGTTCCATAAAGGCCATCACTTCGAGATACTCATAGAAATGCTGTAACAATCTTCTTACTCAAGATTTTTCTATTGTGATTGTCACATTTGACCGTTTAATTTAAAAATATATGCTCGTTCATCTTCGTTGCATCTGTAGACATTCAGTCGTGCGTTCATGTCACAAATGCCTCGTGAGCGCTGTTCGGGTACTAGCTAGCTCAACTCATCACGTGATTAGCTCTTCTTTGACACGAATCAATCGATCGATCGATGGCATTGATAACAGGCGAATCGCATCCTTCATCCACCTTGTAGCCTTGGCCAATAGTAGAATATATTAGCAACCGTTGCTATCAAAAGCACCGTGAGTTCTTTCTACAACTGTTCATCGTGCTATTGAGAAAGTTACAGACGATGCAGTTTTTTTTCTATTTTAGTTGATCCATGAACTACTGGACATCAATCTGTTTCCCACAGAATAAGTGAATAATGAGATGAAACTTGTCGCAGCCCAGTGGGTAGCAACGATGTACAAGGCAAGTGCTACATAAGCACATGGACGCAGATGAGGTCAATAGGGTCATTCTGCTTCTTTAATAGACCATTCAAAATGTAACATTCATATCAAGAGCAGTATGTTTGAATTGATCCATTCGTTTGTTCGCAGACAACAGCCACTGTTGATAGATTGAGTGTGGGTTTCACTCCTTGGTAGATCGGTAAGTCCCCGCTATTTAAATACAATGGAAAGATTTGTGGTGACCGAAAAAGAGCGCTGGACAGTTGTTTCGTCCTGTTTGCGGCTCGTCATCAGTGCATAATGGTTGAGTCCCTGTCTGGACTCGAATCTTTCCATTGCCTATAAACGCATTCAATTAGTGGGAATTTACCGATCTCCTGAGGGGTGAAAACCACACCCAAAACCATCAAGAGTACCTGGTGCCTGTGAAAAATCGAATGGATTATTCCAAATTCGCTTCTCTGGATCGATTAAACCATCCGCTTAAGGGAATTATCGTCGACAGTATAGCTCAGATATNGAGTCCTGACTGGGACAAAAAGAATATACACTGCCGACCAGTTCAAAACAGGACAAAACAGCTGTCCAGTGCTCTTTGTCTATCATCACAAATCTTTCTATCGCTTAAAACTTACACTCACATCACTTGTGCTATTATTAAACAACTTAACAGTTTGTCATAATCACTTGATTAGATGTTTTATGATGAGTCATTTGTCTGTAATTCGGTTAGGGAAACATGAGTGCTTGCACATATGGTTTTTGAGTACNGTACTAAAAGGGAGTTTGTGATGATAGATAATAACTGCCCCCGTTTTGGCTATACTGAGGAATCTCATATGCTTAGACCGTCTTCTTTTAACTTTATACATAGGCCGGAACGCTTCGATCTAGTCTAGTATTAGTGTCTACAAGGAGCGATACGACCGCACTTGTGGTTAAGTTAATTACTCTACTTCTCAACCACGCATGATGGTACTCGCGGATGCGTTCGGACAGATGCTTGGTCGTGCGAACAACATACTTTGCTCTACAGGTGCGAATGAAAAAGTAAATACATAAAGAGATAGCAGAATTGGGCGCTCTATCCTTCAATCATAGATGCACCAACGGGCTAGATGCTGAACGGGCTTGGAGCTTGACTACGCAGAACGTTTTGTTGATGGTTTTTGGCAGCCTACCGTGCACACTCTCTGCTAGGGTGTCGCCTTTAAATGGTACAGAGATGTACACAGACTTTAGTCTCAGCAATGACCCTCTCAGGAAACATCTCTTGTTGTTGAATCACGGATTCCACCAAGCGCTCCGGGTATCCCTATTCTGGATGAAAATATTCCTCAAATTTCGGAGTTCATCAACTAGCATGTCCTCTGTGCCGATACTTCTCGCTCTGTTGGTCAAACAGAGTACGAGTATGAGAGTTGCAAAGCTGCGGAACTGAATCAACTGCCCTTTCCACGTCGCCTTCGTGTATGTTGATCACTTGATCGACTTGTCATCGCGACGAGTTAGGCAAACATCGCAAAATGTTAGCTGATTGTGTATTTCATTTTCCATCGTGAATTTCACATTCCGATGCGCAGCAGTGAAATAATCTTGTAATTGTCTGCGGTCCGTTGCGGACCACGCAGAAACTCCTTATCTGTTACTAGTCATATATACTGTGTTGTAATGGCGCAACCAACACACTAAAAACGAGTTTGTTTGAGTGAGGATTTGTGCTCTCATTATACCTTCTTTGGGACAGCATTAAACTCAATAATAGGTGCACACAAAAACCTTATACTGATGAGACCCTTCGTAAACGAGAAGGATCATGTGAAAGAAGGCCTACGTTTTACTCCAACGTACGTTCCTCAATGATTGGTGTTATTGTCGAATGTGACAAGATGAATAGATGATAGGCTGGAATCATAGTTTCCCCGCAACGAATGTGAGCAGAGAAAACAAAAGAAAGCACAGGGGGTTGCACAATGTGTACCGGATCATTTCGTTGCATCTGTACACGTGCATCCATACTGCAGTTAATGTGATCATTAGCATATGGCCTATGGTTCTGTTACGTTTGGCCATATATTATTGATCACATAAACCACAATATACACGTGTACAGATGGCGCGAAATGATCCGCGACACATTGTGCAAACCTAAGGTTTGGTTTCTGTATTCACATGATCGGTTGCCGATTACATAACTTTACAGGCATCTGGGTAAGCCCGCTGAGAAGAAATGACCCTGATGTTGCGTTCATTTCCGCTGGATTGATTATTCATTGCAAGTTTCGTCCATTAACTCGATCGCCATGTACAATTAGGTTCCATCAGGTGGATTTTTTGAAACACTCCATCCCATTTATCTATTGCATCAAGCCCGAAAGATGACACACGTCGTGAGATGTTTAACTTGTGTTTATTCGTCACAACTGCCAACGTAGAACCATCAAAAGTTGGGTTCATCAAGCCTAGGAAATGTCTTTTTATGCATACAGATCCAGGAAACTGACCGTTCCATGTGACCCTATTCGTGATTACCTGCACCCTTCCTCGAAATATATCGCCTGTTTACCCTGTGTTTCTGGGCTCCCTCAACTCTTGCTTTTCCCAATACAATGAAATTCTAGAGTCGTTTTTGTTGAGCCTTTTGTTTCCAAGCATTGCTATTTTCGTGATACAATAATTGACAGGGTCATTACTTGATCAAGGGCATTGTCTACATGAAAGCCGCGTCAAGTTCCCTAACCCGATCCAAGTATCAACTTCTCACATCGAAACAGTACGATTCGAAGCCTGAATCAGCTCTTCGCTAATTGTACGAAAAGTGACGCCCACTTTGTGGAATGACTCTTGCATTCGAATAGTTTGTCCCACTAAAGTGTCAACTTTACCTTCTGTTATTTATTATCGCTAGTTTTATGGTTTCGTAATAACTGAACACTCATCTCATGGGTGCATAAAACATTTCTTAACTTGACTTGATTTGATTTGAACTGATGTGTCCAGAGTTATAAGAGCTAGCAAAACGTCAACTTCATGCAAGTGATCCGATTGTGCCAGAGGGTTTTGGGAGCTCAAAAGGACTTGACATCATCACATTAATTAGGCCTCACAAACTGCCGAAAACGTTGTATTACGGTAGCGTTACAGTAGCTTCAAAGAGGAGAGTGTACAAAGGGGTAAAATTGCACGGCGTATTTTCTTTCCATCTTGATGAAGAACACTTTCGCTTTAGCCATTCACTGCCACACACACCCGCCACCCTCACGTATCAAACAAAATCTATTCTGGTTTCTCGTGCTGAACATTGATATAAAATGACGTAACCAACCCCAGATGAAGCAGTTCAGTCGTAATTGCCGCACACACACTGAGGTGGACAACAATTCAGACACACGGCATCATCATTTTCAACACAGTTTAGGCCACAATACAAAGGGAATGTCAAAACACACGAATGCAATCTTTTACTCTCGTTCTCTCTATGTCGGTCGCTTATGACCTTGTCTCGAACCAGATTTCTTTTATTTCACACTCCGTCAACGTTAAATAAAAAGCGCATTTCCGGTCAAAGTATGTATAACGGGACATGAGAGAATTCTGTCTTGTTGTATATAGACGACAATGACAATCGAGGCCGGGGGCACGGTGATTTTGGACGGTGCAGTGGGTCACCACTGGAACGAAACACCACGGACACTATCAGTGAAACCGACTTCTTCGCCGGCAGCAGGCGATTGTTGGGTAAGAGTAAAAGTAAAAAAGTAAGTTTAGTAATGTGCGACACTTTACATGGGCTGGTGGACAATCCCTTTTGGTCAGTTGATTATTTGGATGATGACAATTTCTTATACGTGGTTCCATGATATCCTGGAATTTTTACGCACTCGTTGTACGCAGATCACGTGCCCCAGTTGGGCAGAAAGAACAGAACAACGGGACGGGATGGGACGAGACGGGAGTAGGATAAGGGAACCGAGAGAGTGTGATGAGAATGATGATTATGATTCAATCCCCCTCCCGATCGCCGAGTACACATACAGGTCTGAAGAGAATAAAGAAATTAAAATCTGTACAGATCAGAGTGATGCATACAACATTCCGTTTTGGCAAGTCGGATAACGGAACTCAACGAATAGAACATTGCCTTTTATGTTTGCTTAACTAATAAACGTTTTTTGCACAAATTGTTGCTGTTATTGTGGGTACACTATCTCGGAGCATATTGTGAAGATTCTCTGAAACGCCCAGTTTTGTATAGTGTGTATCATTTCAAATATATATGTGATTGGAAAATCTCAATTTTCGTCATTTCGCTTTTTTGCAGGATAGTCACTCGATCCCAAGGGAACACGCATGGCATCTGTCACAAATGTGGGTGGTGCAGATCCGCGACCATCTGTGGTGATTAGTTCACAATATCCCTGATTACCTGGACTTGGCCGGTCAGTGGTGTTCGATATTCTTTGAAATGTGTTCGAATTGTGACATTTTGCATGCGCGTTCTCCAAGTCCAATTGACCGGATCTTCTCTGATCGGTCGATTGAGTAGTATTTAGCCGATGACTGAGGTTCTTAAAATCACTGCTTCTCTCCCCCGTTCTGACTCGTTCACATGTCCCCACAGCGTGACCACAGTGGTCACCGGTCTCGTCACTTTCGGTTGTATCCCCGGACTCCTGTGGATCGGAGTCGGTGGAAACTTTGGATCGGGGGTGGGTAAGCTCATCGGGAGTACACTGAACAGATTTGGTTGGGGGATAGGTGTTGGGTACGAATGTGGTCAGTGCCGGTTCGCGTTGATAGGGGGAACAGTTTGACCGAAAGCAGGATTTCATCAGCGGTGTCCTAGTTGCGTCCAGCGGATGTAGACCGCTTTGACATCCCGTGGTGTAACAGACGCTATCGAAGTATACCGGGCCTTTAATTCTGGTCGTACCTAAATTTACGAGATGGTAAAACAGACAAATGAACTGGAGAATCACCTTATTGAATACATGTATAAATAGACGGATAGATGAATGATTACCAGGATAAAAATTGTAATAGTTCGAAAATCAAAATCAAATGGTTTGTGAATTCACGAAAGTTCACTTTTACTAATAAAGAAAGAATATTACAAGATGTTTATCCTAATGAATCGATCTATTTAAGCATCATGAACTTTTGTACTTTGATGGAATCCCCTGAATACAGTGATAGAGGGTGGTTCAATGACATAAACGAATCTCTGGAATTAGCCGATGAACAATTGTTCTTAAAAATCTCGATCGTGATGAGACCAAACGTGTGTATTGAAAGTGGTAAAATGGACCTTGAATAGTCAACCTTCAGATGTGCGGCTTGTTGAATGTTCATATTGTGATCGTACTATACTCATTCTGGAAGAAACATCAAAGCCCTGTCGTTATACGACTAAAGCGGAGAAGAAGTGTCGAAGAGATGCGCATCATTTTGGTGTCTCAGTGGCTGGCGTGTGCAATCGCTTTATCGAAACAGGGAGGAAGTACGATGTATCACAGAGTTAGGCGAAGCTCCTCAGGTTGATAGCTGTGTGTAGTAAGGAATCCGGCTGACGGTTACAAATGGTTGCACACGAAAATGGCTGCAAGGGACTCACGTTGATGATAGTCAAGATAGACGAGCTGGTGTGAAAAACAACGGGTAAATTTTCAATCCAGCCGGGATCAGGGTATTGGTAGCCATCTTTGGCACTTTTTTAATAGTCGACCCAGAAATCCCGCGGGAAAGTGAAGCGTCACTTTTTATGCCTAGGTTTTCCAATAATTAAGAAATTCCCTTCCAATGAATCGTTATCCATATCTATATTATCAGTCAGAAAAATTGTTATGGTGAGGAAACGACAACAGGAAAAATGGACATGGAAAGTGGGGTTTCACTGCACGTGTTTTGATCGTTGTTTGGCTATCTTGTTCGTCCTCCCTGGAGCATGATGGTTTGTGATCGAATACAGAAAACTGATCAGCATCCTCAGCTCAAAAATGCCGAGTCTCTCAGCCGCGGGGATGCACACTGACCTCTTTAGGGAAATTCACTTGTTGCGACGAGGCCACTAGTGCCGTGAGATGATGAAAACTAACCCACCTCTACCAACCTCTACAACATCACTTACTGCCGTGATCAAGCTCTGAATGAAACTGCATTTTAATGGAAATTCCTTAATTGATTCATCTTCTCTAGCTAATAGATCACAAGTTTTCAAAATCCGCGCTACAAAGTGGGTGAGAACTATACTCACAAAAACCCCTTGAATAAAAGATTCAACCTCTTAGTTTCGGCTCGATTTGTAGTCTGAATGTGACGAGAATTGCAACAGCTGAGCAAAAATAAGGGGAATGTGACGGGAATATGACGGGCACAACAAAACATCCGAGTTTGTCAAACATTTCGATTGTGCGTAGATGGTTACCACAACCGAAGAATTCATACACAAGCTTCTGCCAACATGTGCCACATCCTGTAATGCAGAGCCCATACTAAATCTGTTCATCACGATGACTAATCGGTCCAAAGCGTTTAGACTCGATCACCTGTGTATTTTGTCACCTAGCGGGGTGACAACTGCATTTTTCTAAATTCAAGCATTGTTTATTGCAAGGAGTTCAACTACTACTGCCAGTTGAACAGTAGCGCTGAAGTATGATGTTTAAAGGGAAGTGTATACGAAATAATCTATTTATGGGCTACCTTGTACATGTGTCACATAGACCGCGTTACATAACCGCAATTATTTTGACAGGTGCTTGTACGCGTATCCAGGGTAACAAATGGATAGAAAAGCGATTAACGTAGCTTCTGAACTTCTACCCGGTAGAACGAAAACTGACAACGTTCACGTAACTTGCTGGAGTGATTCTCATGGATAAATATGAGTAGTGCTGGGTGAGGGAGCTGGGGGTAGAAATGGTGGAAATAGAGAATTCAAACGACAAATCAACGAGATGCACCGAGTGGACACATGAATCACCGTCACAGCTTAAGTTTCCATGCATAGATAGCCATGGAACATGAAAACCAAGAAACGTATCACAATCTGTTTGTTCATCATCTATCTCTCCGCTATCATCAACACCTCCTCGGCTCGATCTCACCCAGTGATGAATGATATCCGTAAACGCGGTTTGGTTTGGGCGTGCATATTGTGTGCAATGATTTGCAAATGCCTCAATCCATCACTTCTTCTGTCTGACGGGTACGGCTCTAAGTGACCATTTACGGATTTAAGTCATTCCTCTCTCTCTCACACACACACACAAAGAGACACAATGAAGTATATACTAGCGTATCTACAGGGTGAACTGACCAATGGGAGGATGGATTTTTGCACTAAATGATTTCCTCCCGATTTAGCTTTAAATAAATAAATAAATAATAAATAAATTGCTTCAGATAATCATCTAGATGGTAAACAATAGCGTGCACCATTTACTGGTGCTGTTATATGAGATGGATGTGAGGTTACTGTGATTGTCCAAGGTGTACTTGGCAGAGTGCAATACAATTAAACACATGAACACCAAATTGAGACAAAACTAAAGCATATCAGCTGAGAGAAAGTCCTCTTTACGGAAGCCTAGGTAGCGTTAATGTGCAGATTCAAAACCCATTGATTCAGGAGCTATTAATGCGATCTAACAAATTATTTCGCAATCATTACACTCAAATTACATCTACATCACTTTTGACATCTGACAACAAACAGGATTTTTTAGATTTGCTAATCTCAAGTTCACAAGGAATACACAATAAAAAACGACTGAGATCTACGAATTCACCGCCAAAATGTTTTTGAATTACGTGGGCACCATTCAGGAAGTTGATCGATAATGTCACCTGGATTTCCGCTGATCAAAATCTATCAAAATCCGTTCCTGTCAACAGACAGGGCAGAATCAAACTGTCTACTCACTGAAACACAATAAGTATGCATCTTTCTCAATATACTCCCTAATTTAGAGAAAGAAGGTTATGTGCGAAATTTTGCTGTGACTATGCGACAATTGATAGTGACACACAATCGCACACACGCGCCCATCTGTCAGTAGTAACGTGACAACTATTGCACTGTTTTTAACAAGAACAGTTCTGGATGTGGGCATTTCATTCGGGGTTTCTCGAGGTGAAACTACTCCACAGATTGTAACACCAACAAATCATAATCGGTCCGGATAACGGTGAAGTGAAAAAAATCATTGGGATTTTGTCTTTTGCCCATCGTCACGACTGGCCTGGTATCTCTCATGGGATGCCTTGATCGTGTAGTATGTGAAATGGTTTGGCAGATGTAATAGCATGCATCGGGTCATCAGTGTACAGTGGTCTATGCACGTCGTAGACCGACTGTTCTCCGCTTCGGCAGCATTTACTCACAGATGAACTGATCCAGGACAGCTTGTGAAATACAGCTTCGCTAACCCGGTCCTACTTGACTCGATGATGTCGAATTTTGAAGCAGCACAAATGAACTCACGGATGAAAACTAACTGTAATTAGTTGCGAGAGGTATGTTCAGGTTCTTCCTCCAAAGATTCAAAGATTCAAAGATTTATTATGGGAATAACTTACAAGCTTTTACATGCTTTTCTGGTCCCATAGGTTCGTGCGGTGGATTAGGAAACAGTGATACATACAAATCTTTTTGTAAAATGCCACGTGATACGTGCGTTTTCCACTGCTTTACGCAGCTTCATTTATGTTGGAACGTAAGATGTGCTAATGTTTCATCGAGCCTCAGTTTGAAAGACTCAATGCTTGGAGCACAGACGACGTAGGATGGTAGAGAGTTCCAGATCGAGCACATTCTGACTGCGAATGACTGACGCCGGCATTTCAAGTGGCATTTTGAG